CAGTCATCTTTCTGCGTGCATCACAGCAACTGAGTGGAAGGAAAGAGCACTGGATATGGAGTTAAGAGACCTGGATTCTGTCACTATTCTGCTCTGTAGAACAGTATATCATTAAAACAAAACAATATAAAACACTGTCTGTGAAAGGAGACTCATAAGTAAGGGGATTTTGATGATTTCCAGTTCACTTATGTCCTTAATTCTAAGGGAGTGCAATAAGGGACTTGTCAATAGGAAACCCTTTAAGTTTTAGGGAGGTGGGAGTGCCTTCCTTTACTTTTATTTCAAATTATTTTAAGCATTAAAACGCAGGGGGTGGGGGGGAACTAGTCTGCTGTCAGAAGAAAGAACAATACCCCATTCGTAAGTTTCTCACTGGGCCCGAGGCAAATCACTTAACCTCTCTGGGTCTCCATTTTCTCAACTGTAAAATTAGGGAGTTGGATTAGGTCTGGGTTGTGTTGTTGTTACAAACCATTCATTCATTCATTCATTCATTTGATATTTGAGAAACTACTCCACCGCAGGCATGTCCCATGCAATAGGTTATAGAATTTAAAAACAGGCAAGAACCCTGCACTCCTGCCGACATTTCAGAGATAACAAAAATAGAGAACTAAATCACATAATGTCAGAGAGCGACAAGCACTGGAAAACAACACACCAGGAGTGCTTGAGTTGGAGTGGAGTGCTGTTACTTTACTTCAGGAAGGTGGGTGGGCAGCTTCTCTGAGACCGTGAGAGTTGAGCTGAGTTGATAAGGAACCAGACACTTGCTTCCAAGCAGAGGTAACAGATAGGTGAAAGCCCTGAAGTGGGAATAGGCTTACTTGATGAAGAGAACCTATCCACTTTTCATTGTGTACCCCCCTCCTAGTGGTGTGTATTAATGTCACTTAAATGTATTCCTACAAGACATTTTAAAGAGGAGTAAAATATCATTGGATTTGAACAATTCCTTCAAGACAGGCCTTCTCTTCCACATGACTCCTTTGTTCTTCTCAGGTTTCTGTCCTCATGATCATAAATTCCCTTACTTATTCCAGGCAACACTAAACAGGGTTTAAATCACTGCTTTTCAATCTTTTATAACAGCAACCCGTAGTGAGAAATAAACTTTATGTTGCGACCCAGCGTAAAAAACTAAACAAAAGTTTTAAAAATCACCAACTTTACTATGACTCCCTGCAGTACACTATCATATATTCTATTTTATTTAATTTTTTTAAAATGCTAAGGTGACTTCAGGGGTAACTTACAGTTTGAAAAACACTATTCTAAACCAACATTGAAGTGACTAGTAATTTTGTTCAAACACAAACCAAAACACGAAAAAGTCCAGCATTAACCTAAAAGGCCATCTCCCTCTTCCTTTTTTCTGTACACATCCTTGCTTTGACACACTGAAATCTAAATCTCTCTGTGTAACTTGTAGGGGAAATGACCAGAGGGGCATTTTCAGAAAAGCTGGGAGTGAAAGAAAGAAACTCAAATATGCAAATATGCAAACTGTTCACTAGGTGAGGATACACCATGGTTTCAAAGACTGCCCAAGAAGGAAAGATTCATAGTCTTCACAATAACCAGAAGAGGTGTGTGTGTGTGTGTTGGGGGTGGGAGTGTGAGGCGGTGCTAGGTAAGCCATCAAATTTTAAGTTCCTGGAGGGAAGGCAGTCTGTATTCTTACCTTCCCTTACCAGAATTTTAGCCCCATGTGGACTGATGTGTAACTACAGCACTCAGAACCATCCCTGGCACACATCACATACATGGGTGCTCAAAAAAATTTTGTTTCATAACTTTTGAATAATGGAGCTCGTCGTCACCATCAAACCCTAACTTTGCATGCATTACCCAATTATTAAATTTTCCTGGAATGTATAAATGTCATGCAATAGTAAACTAACCTCTTGCTTATTTCCCAGTCATTGTTCAAGTCCAGGTATTAATGAGGTATTTTTCTCAAGAGCAAAGTGGGAAAAGGGTGTTTTCAATTGCAAGGTACAAGAGATAGTATTGGCTGCAATGGAAAGATTCCATGTCTGTTAGTGGCCATGGTAAACTCCTAAACAGCTGGGATTAAAACGAGTATTTTTAATTTAATAAGTGGTTTCCCAAGGGAAACTAACCAGTGGGCTCTGTCAGCCAAGGGTCTCTCTGATAGAAACCATGGCAATTTCTCTGTGAAACACAGTTACCATCCTCACCCCTGAAGTCAGAAGTGCATGCACCCAATTTTCAGGAGCCTCGGGGTCCTGGTGTCGCAAAAATTACACCTGCAAGTCAAGCATTTTCCCACCTGCCACACAGCTGCCACACACAGAAAGCTCCTTTCAACTGTGCTCTTCAGCCCTAATTAGGGTCATCATTAATGATTTCAAATTACAACTGTTGCTTTATCTCAAAACAGTGCTAAAAAGGGGAGCTACATTCAAGATGGTTTTCTTTTAAGTCATTTATCTGCTCTTCTCTCAGGGGCAAAAAAGATGTTGAGACAAGTGTGAACCTGCCAGAGCTTCTTATTATAGATGCAGCCCTCCTCTTCCTCCCCCTTTTCCACTCCAGCACCCCTCCCTGTCTGGCTTTCCTGAATTGAGGAAGTAGCCTCCGGTAAGAAACTGTAAGGGGCTCCCTTATCAAAACAAGGAGGGATTCACAGCAGAGGGAGTGAGTCAGGCGACCAAGAACCCTTCCCTTATCCTGACAGGTCCATTTACCCCTTTCCCCCAGGTCAACAATAACTCGTGTTTCATAAAGGAAGAAAGTCTTAGAGAAGGAAAATCAACCCATCCAAATACAGGAGTATCTACTTAACGCAAGACAGAACCAACCCCGCTGCCAGACCGGCGGTGTGGGCAGGCGAATGTGTGCGTGTGCAGAGGGACTGCCTATATATGGATGAGACATTAGTGGCAACGAGAGGAGAGACACCACGATTGACAAAGCCACAACTATTACGACTTGAAATATCCCCCGCAGGCACTGACTTTCGGTGCCAGAATCTCCCCGGATTTATTTTCAGGCAAGTGACTCACAACCTGGTCTCCATAAGTAATTCCATTAAAATGAGTCGCCGGTTCCACTAACCCGACTTTCCGCTGCCCTCTGGCTGCTCCTCCCTCCTCTCCGCCCATCCTGCAAACCCAGACAGCTCAAAGACTGAGCAACCTTATCCCCAGGGGAGCAGACGACAAGCTCGCCTGCCCAGCCACTACCCTCGGGGAAGGATGAATGGGGCCGCGGGCGGGAGGAAGCGCAGTGAGGGGGCGTGCGGGCTGTGCGCGGGGTGTGTACGCGTGTGTGCGCGCGTGGGCACGCACCCCGGCCAACTTACGGAGGTGGAGTTGGTCCTCGCCTGGCCCTGGTTCCGTACCTCCTGCTCCCGGAACTGCAGCCCGGCCAGATGCTTCTCCAGCGCTTCCCAATCCATAGGTGGCACCGGGGGCTCTTCGGGGACGCATGTCCCGCCGTCCGGGGGCTGAAGGCAGAGCCCCCCAGTCGCCGGGCTGCGGCCATCCCGCCGGCCCCCAGCCGGCTGGGGCTTTTGGATCGCCCGGCGGGGACCCCGGGAACTGCTCGGCCGGCCAGCCACAACCACGTTGCCATTGTGCCTGAGGTCCTGGGGGTCGTGCTGGTGGAGGTTGCCGTTGGGCACCGGGGGCGGCATGGCGGTGGTGGCGCTCCTGTCCCCGCCGCCGCCGCCGCCGCCGCCGCTGCGGGTCCTGGCGCTTAAGTCCCCCGGTTCCCGGGCCGGACAGCGGTCATCCCGGTACCCTAGCTGGTGGCGCTCGTCCTCCTCTTCCTCCTCCTCCCCGTCCTCCTCCGGCGCCCACTCATCAATCACCTTCTTCTGGTAGACCGGGAAGCGCTCCTCATAGTCCTCCAGGGCAGACACCAAGTCCAGGCTGCCCCCAGGCGACGATGAAGATTTGCACTCGGAGCAAGGGGTCACTTTGGTGGAGTTGGACTGTGAACTGGCGCGGCTGCTGTTGCTGCTGCTGCCGGCGTCACTGCCTAGATCCATCCCATCCTCTCGGTAATCCTGGGGGGAGGAGGTAGAGAGTGAGCCGCTGGGCCGAGCTTGCTCCAGCCTCCCGCCGCCCGCCGCGAACGCCCCGGCCCAGTGCCCCGCACCCTGCGCCTGCAGGGTCCGAGGTGCATCCCCCAAGGAGGCCTGGGGGGCGGGAGCCTGCACCAGCCTGAGGCTTCCCTCCTGCCCGCCTTTCCTCTCGCACAACCAGACTTCCTGCCGGTAACTAACCCTCAAATTAGCAAAGGGGTGCCCAGCCACCGGCGCACACACTTTTCATACAAGGGGCCCCGCGGCGCGCGCAGACTTTGTATTAACCATTTTGCGCCGGGCGCGCCCCTTTACCCCGCCCCAAGGATTCTCCGAGAACCAGACACTTTCCCAGGAAATTATAATTCCCTGGAGGCGGGAACTGAGAAGGGGATGGGCGGCTACTAATTTCGCACCTCGCTCAGCGCCACCCCCGCCCGGCCCCGCCCCTTCCCCGCCCGGGGCTGGGAGCCCGGGTCCGCGCGCGAGCTGAGCTTTACTTTCTAAGGAACGCCGGGCAGTCGGAGGTCTCTCTCCCGCCTCCGCGCCTCCCCGGCCGGCTCCTCCTCCCACCCGCCGGAAGGCTCGGGGTCTGCGGCGTTCTCAGCCCGCGCCCGGCAGGGTGGTCACCCGCCTCCCCAAAAGGTGTGCCTGGCCGGGGCGCGGCGGCGGCAGTCGCTGCAGGCGCCGCCACCGCCCTGGGGGAGGGAGGACGCGCCCTCCTGGCGGCGGAGCCGGTCCCGCCACCGAGCATGCCCAGAGGCTGCCGGGCGCGGCGTAGTCCGCAGTCCCGGTTTTCGCGGCAGCAGGCTGGAGCGGGAGGCAGGCTGGGATGAGGTTGGAGGGACCCAGGATAGGCCCAAAAGAAGGGGGCAATGGGCGTTAGGGACGCAGACTCAGCCAGTCAGCCAGGGCGGCGCGCTGGGGAGAGTGCTGTATTTTCACGCCAACACCGGTATTTTCTTGGCGCGCCTCAAGCCCTCTCTGCGTGACTTGTTAACCCGCCGAAGCCACCCGGGACCCCAAAAGCACGAGCCTGGCGCCTCCTATTCCACGCGGAAGTGCCCGAGTGACCCTGTGAAGGACCTCCCTCCCCTCACACACGCACATACACAAGCCCATGTGGGAGCCCGAGTGACGTGCTCGGTGGTCGTGCACCATCATTTCCCTTCCACCTTCCTCCCCGCCGCTTCCTCTCCCTCCACCGCGCAGCTCCACCGCCCCGCCACTGCCGCATCCCCTTCCAAGTTCAGACTGTGGGTGGAACCTGTTGCTTTAGCTCGAGTTTCCTTTCCCCTCTGGGCTGCACACTGAGGATGACCTCAGCGAGGTGTGTATGGGGAAAGGAGGGTGAGGGCGAGAGAGGACTGCTGTCTGGCAGTGGGCCGGGGAGGAAGGGGAGCGGGGGAGCGCGGGGCGGGGGGGAATCTGTTCTAAAGGGTTGGGCGAGCCACCAGAGACTCTCCGCCACCTCCAATCAAGGGGACCTTAAAGGAGGGGAAGAGGTAGACATCAGGTGAGGGTGCCCCTGGCACATCGCTGCCTTTGCTTCCCTAAATATTTCAGATAACTGAGTCAAAGAAACCTATGCTGGCGTTTTCGAAAACACACGGGCTTCCTGAGTCTGTCAGCTCATCTTTGGAAGAAGGTTCTGTGAAAAGAAAAATACCAACACTTGGAAAGACACGGATGCGTCACAGAGCGCCTACTAAGGATTTCCTGTGAACCAACCATTCTGACCTGTAAGAACTGGGAAACTAGGAAATGCCCTTTTCTCTGTGGTGATTATGAAAAATATTAATTTTATAACAAACTAGAGAGAACCAGTTTCTCTGAATTTCCAGATTTGGGCCTGTTGCTAATTATTCCCAGTGAATTCTAGCCTGGACCAAATGACTTCCCTGGCGTGGCACAGTCCAGATGGAAGAAAAGGGGAATGCACAGGATTCCTAAGTAGGGAGTGGCTGCCACCCTGAGGATTCTTCTAAGCCCTGGTGGGATGTGGTGCTAAAACCCTTTTTGAAGTGATTTCTGTGAGGCACGACTCTCCTGTCCTAGGTATACCTGAGCTAGGGAAGAAAATCTAACCTTTCAACTCCTCTGGAAGCAGAAATCTTAGGAATAACATGAAAAGGGGCCTTCTGGTCTGACCAACTCTTTTGTAAAACGGTACTGATGGTGATTTAAATTGTCTTTTACGGTAACATCTGTAAATAGCCTGTCTTGTGCCCCAAAGATGGTTTGATTTTGAGATTGCTGTGGGGCCCTGCCTGCCACTCCAGCGGGGTGGAGGTGGGCCTGTGAGTTGGAAGATATGAGTAGGAAACATTGGTATGCTGGGAATTAGATAGCTGTTTTTCAGTTCACCATATGACCTGGCAGGGCTTAGATCACAAAAAGCTCCCTGCTCTGTGGCAGGACACAGGTAGACATTTAAGTACTGATTACCTGGGGTGATAAGGGAGATTGTGGTTTCATTCCAAGTTTTGAACATTAGGGCCTCCTAAGCCACCCACCCAGACTCCCTCTGAGCTCTGGGCTCATCCCCCTGTTGCCCAGATGGTCCATGTTCAGGGAATGCAAAATAAGGCCTAAGACAAATGTTTGGGAAAGTCAGTCTACTGCCAAAAATGCATGGTATTTCAAAGCCAAATATAAACATCTTTGAATTACCTGTGCTTTTAAATTGTTTTCCCAACAGATATTTCTGGATCAGATGGGAAAATACCAGGTTTCCCTTTTTCTTTTCTCTTCATGCAAGGTGCCTGGCTAGCCCAGTTTCCTTTCTGTTTCCAGCCTTCCATCTCCTGCCAGGAGCCCTCCCTCTTTGGAACAGGAAGCCCTGCCAACTCCTAGGCCCAGCAACAGCCTGCAGATATGTCCAGCAGGATAGGGAGATGATTTGCAAAGTGATTGAAATATTCTGTCTTCCTGTTTACAGGAACATTTTTTCAAGTTAGGGGCTTGGAGACTTAGTGTCTCCTGAAACCTTTGAAAATTAGACATCCGAGGTGTGGGATAAGCACCTTCATGCTTTGGCTCCAGCACCTTTCCCCATCAATCAACAAGTCCTGTCAATTCTACCTAAATACAAGGTCCGTCTTAAATACCCACTGTCCCCACCCCAGTCTAGGCCACTGTGCCCTTAAATTACTAAATAGTTTCTCGACTGATCCCTGCCCATTCTCCTCATGCAGCCAGAGTGGCCCTCCTAAAATGCAAACCTGAACAAGTCTCTTGCTTCATTAACTACTCCTCTACCCACCCAGGTCTACTCACTGCTCTTAAAGGAACTACTTCTCCTCTTCCACCCCACTTCTTTTGGTAAATTTTTACTCATCCTTCAAGTCTCAGCTTAAGTGTTACTTCCTCAGGGAAGGCTTGCCTGATTCTTTGTACCTGCCCTTACTGGGTCAGGTGACATTTGCGTGTGCCCATGACACTCACTGCATCAATCTTATGCACTGTGTCAAGGTTGCTGTTTAATTGCTCATCTTCTCTACTAGAATCATGGTGAGAAATACATTTTATATCAAGACATAGGCCACATATTCATATAAAAATATATGCAAGGGAAAGAAAGTTTCATAAAGCACTTATTTTGTAAAATCTTATTCTAGTTCATTTAAAACAAAATCTGGTCACACTTTACTGCATTGACTTCCTAACCCTTAGATAGGTCAGGGCTTTTGGTGTGAAAGAAATACTCTAAATTCTGTGGAGAGAGGGACAATTTCCCTCATTCATGGTACATGGAATGGAATAGGAGCTTAACAGGTATTTGTTGCTGGAATTATTAAGGATAATATCTAATTCATGTAATCCTCAAAGATCCTATGAAGAAACTACTATTATCCCCACTTACAGATGAGGAGGCTGAAGACAGTAAGGTTTAGTAACTTGCCCAATGTCAAAAAGCTGGTAAGGTAGATGGCAGAGCCAGGATTTGAACCTGAGTAGTTTGCATTGACCCTTGCATATTATTTCATGGATGAATTTACAAAGCAAAAATGTCAGAAAGGGTTTCCTTGCAGCAACTTCAAGCTAGATCTCAGTCTGCCCTGCAGAGGCTCCTTTGGCAGTATTTATGTCCGTGCAGTGAAGACGGCATCTGGCAAGAACAGCTGTTCCCCTTTGCTTACATGTGCTCAACCTCCTCAACCACCAAATCCAGCAATATTTAGCAAGTAGGGAGATTTAATTGTATAAAGGAAGAGTACAGACACTTCCAAAAATGCAGTTTCACATTGTCATGAACTATGTGCTGTGTGTTCCACCCCAAAAAACAAATCCTTTAAAAAGAAAGCCACCAGGAGATTGGGGTATTTATTTTGTCATCCATAGGAAACTGTCTAGATTAATACTCAAAGGTAAGGGTAAGAAGATCGTATTCCTCAGGGGTCAGTGCTATTTATAGGACTTTAATCTGTAAAGGCAACATTTGATAAAGGACATGATTGAAATATTTGAATCAAAGAGTATGAATAGGAAAATATTTATTTGCAGAATTCCCGAACTAATTCTTACGTTATTAGCCCTGATGCTGAGCCTTAAGTGGTGGCATTTAGAGTAATAAAGAAATGGCTGGCAAAGGGTTGTATTTCATCTTTATTACATGAATTACATGCAGGTCACATGCAGTACACAGATGTTCTCCTGTTTCATCACCTGACCATAAATACATGGAGATATTTAACAGCCCTGTGGGGTAAAGTGTCCTGGATACAGAATATCTGGGGTTTGTTTCTGGCCTTATCACTAACCAACTTTACGACCACAGTTTCCTCATGAAGGAGCCCAGACACGTGATCACAGTGTTTGGTAAATAGTAGCAATTGATTAAATGAATAAATAACGAGGGAACTAAAAAGCTTCTCCCAGCTTGAAGACTATGGATTTCATTCTAGAAACCATGAGAAATATAGTATAAAAATGTCTCTGAATCTTTTCCTCACCTTCCTTGTTGGGGGATATAAAGTTGGCTCTTACACTAATTAAAAACCAAGGTCTATCTCTATTAGGCAGGTTGGCCTTCTTGGGTACATGGTAGTTCTTTTTTATTTCTGTAGAGCCAATGGGTTAATCTTAACTTACTAGTCTATATGTGTAGATATTTTGGAGATGGATTCTATGTACACCTAAAATCATTTTCTTCTCACTTTCACTTACAGAGCTATATTTTAATTAAAATGGTTCCTTTAAAAAATTAACATATTAAATGTTTTTATTTTCTAGCAAACCATGAGATTTTATTTGTTTTCAACATTTTCCTCAATTAAAAAAAAAAATGAAATGGCAAAATATAGGCAAAATAGCACTTAAAAGATATCTCCAATGACCTATTTTCCAAACCTGAAACCAGGACACATGTCTTGACAAATACTACAGTGCTTACAGAAAGTAGGTGAATGTATATTTGAAATGAAGATTATCCTGAACTATCTGTAGACATTAGCAGCCCAAATGGCAGCAGAAGAATTGTGTCTTTATCAGAGAAAAGTCATACAGAGGGTGCCAGTCAGGACCTCAGCATGTGGCTGTACAGATTGTGCCCTGTATAGTGCCAGGATTATGAACCATACAATAGATCTCTGCCAGGAGGGACCATTTGGCACATCACATAGATGGCAATGTGAATGGTATCCTCTGGAGTTGTGCAGTGCACAATCTGCATAACAGTACGCAGAAACTCTGCAAGAATTCCACTGGTAGGGAGTGTGCTCTCTTGACAAATTGGAAGAGGGAGGCTGGTGTTTTTTGCTAATAAAGTCATTCCTCAGATTGGATGGCAATGTCAAAAATTCACCTAAATTCTAGTGTTTTTTTCCTTTTCCCAACTTTCCTTAAGTTCCTAGCAATTCTTAAAAATGCAAGTCTGGGCTGGGGCTGGGTGCAGTGGCTCATGCCTGTAATCCCAGAACTTTGGGAGGCTGAGGCGGGTGGATCACGAGGTCAAGAGTTCAAGACCAGCCTGGCCAACATGGTGAAACCCCATCTCTACTAAAAATACAAAAATTAGCCAGGCATGGTTGGTGGGCGCCTGTAATCCCAGCTACTCAGGAGGCTGAGGCAGGAGAATTGCTCAAACACAGGAGGAAGAGGTTGGAGTGAGCCGAGGTCACGTCACTGCACTCCAGGCTAGGCGACAAAGCAAGACTGTGTCTCCAAAAAAAAAAAAAAAAAGCAAGTCTGTAAGCAACTCTGAACTTACTTTTTAAACTTCATTGAAAGAAGTAAATTGAACAACAGGGCATTTAGAAAAAGCTGGGGAAGTTTGTAGACAACTGCAAAAGGTCAGGGAAGCATTATAAGTCATAGGCATGAAAGTCCATGTATACATGACCCTAATATAAGATGAAATGTCTCCGAAACTGTATGCCTTCTACTTTAAAGTGTTTTGCTTATCAAAGAGGAACATTTTCACAAGATACTCTAGGAAATTAAGACTGTTTTGGTCACGTGTTGACATAATTCTGGAAACTTTATAAAGTCAGAAAATAGCTTCTGGCATTGTCAGTGCCTCACAGCAGGAGGAATGGAGGTAGCTTGGTGGGACAGGAGAGAACTCTTCAGGAGACTTGGCTCTGCCTCTGACTAGCTCTGTGTTTATGGGCAAGACCATCCCTGCCGCTAGCTCTCTGGGCCACTGGCTTCCTCATGAAAGTAGAATTGTATGAAATTGTCTGAGCTTTAGAAACTACCAGAATTTCATGGGCTGTAACTTAGGTGCCTCCAGGGCCCA